GATTTTCATCTCTTTAGCACACCTACGGCAAAAACAAATTTCACATGGCTTCATCCTTGGAAGAAACAGGGCAAGACTACAAATCTCTTTTCAGCCAAAGTAGGAGTTTCAAGATCAAGAATTACTGAGCACAGGCCCTGAGGGAAATTGCTGACAAACAAACCACATTAAAACCAAGGACTAGAGGGCAGTGTGGTACATACTGTGACAGATAAGCAAAGGAGACACCTGTCTAAAATCAATTCACAATATAAATAAGGATAAAGGATCACTATCCCAATTACATAAAGAAATTTTAGGAATTAACTTTTAAATAGAATAAAAATCTAAGTGGAAATAAAGGAAACACATTTCACAAGAGAAAAAGATGTTGCATGGTATTATAATGACTCTGAACCTCATCACGAAAGTAAAATAAATTGATGAAATTTTATTGTATATCCACTGCATTGTCTGAAGAAGAGACACAGGAAAACCTAATGGGATGGTTAGATGGTGCACCTACTCAGGAAATCCCTGTGGGAACCCCCAAAGGTGAACAGTCTCTCTGCTATATCCAGTCATCTGCCCAAGTAGATGATTCTTTTATTTCCTTTAGAAGACATGGAGGAGAATCCTCGAACAGGTTTGCTTATAGCAATTGAAAACCAGACACTTTTCTGGGAATAGAAGTCGTATTTCATCAACACCAGATGTGCTTCTTAGTTTTAATGTCACAATACAGAGCTTAAAATGTACATTAATAGATTTCACTAATAAAACAAGAAGACTCTAACAATTTTTTGTTGCTGTTGGTTACCACATTGCTATTATTAATTGGATATCTAGGAGAATACATCTCTTGCTCAGGATATCTTCAAGATTGGAACTGTGTCTAACCTCATTTTCAAAAATGAATCTTTATGGTGAAATTTTCAATTTTTTGTTTTGTTTTCAATGTTTTGACTATGATTAAGCAAAATATTTTTATTGAAAAACCAACAATGAGTAACTGCTTTACTCAACATGAATGATCCTGAAAAGCAGGAAGATACTAATGATACGACTTGGGATAAATTTATTAAACTTGAACTTTGGCAAGTTCAAAAAGAAGCACATTTATGTAATAAATTATATAGGGATATCTACAGAGGTGATAAAAACTCATTGAAACCTTATGAAAATGACAGTTTTATA